GTGAAGGTGCTGTGTGTTTCGTTGTGAAAGCGAAACTACTTTGTTTGGTCTTCCAAAAGAGGACGATATCTGCTTCGTCATGCCTGTAGCTGATCCGTGCTGGTCGCTGAGGAAATACTTCAACTTCGCGCTGGCGATCGCCGGATTGGCTTTCACTGTGGACGAAGCGGAGTCCAGCCCGGGGTCGTCACATGTGGTTGCCGCAGGCATCACAATATGGTAAGGGACGTAACATTTCCGTCACATTCCGGAATTCGGCCAATCATAACGCACTGGATAGCTGGCCAATCAGAGCACACCTCACTTTTTCAGACCGATGAGCTTTGTAAAAATCAACGCGTTTCAGAAAGGTGGGGCATAGAGGAGAAACAATAATGTACAGTATGTGGAAAATAATGTGTTTTTTGAACCTTAAACCGCATAAACACATTTCATTACACCAAATACACAAAATAAGTGTATCGTTTTAGCAGCATCATATGACCCCTTTAACTATGAGTCTGTGTGTGAAGGAGAGTTGTGGGTGATGGGGTCCATACCATCCATCATGGTCTCTGTGGAACAGTTCTCCTCTTTCCGGCACACCGCACCTGCCAGGAACTCTCCCATCTTACTGGCGGATTGCTCTGAACAGAGGGGAAAAACTGCAGATTAGGAGCTATAAATTGTTACTTTTAACGAAACATTGTGTTTTATAATGAAATCAATATTTATTTAAATATGATTAATATACTATTATAATATATGATTTAATATAATTTTAGGTTTGGGGTACGTAAGATTTTATATTTGAAAGAAGTTTCTTATGTTCACCAAGTCTGTATTTATTTGATCAAAAATACAGTAAAAACTGTAATATTACATTATTACAATAATATTGTAATAATTACAATAATGTAATATTATTATATTATTACAATTTAAAATAACTGTTTTCTATTTGAATATGTTTTAAAATGTAATTTATTCCTGTGATGCAGAGCTGAATTGTCAGCATCATTACTCCAGTCTCCAGTGTCACATGATCCTTCAGAAATCATTCTAATATGCTGATTTGTTGCTCAAGAAACATTTCTTATTATTTTCAATGTTGAAAATAGTTGTGCTGCTTAATATTTTTGTGGACACTGCTATACATTTTTTTCAGGATTCTTTGAATACCAAGAGAAAAAGAACAGCATTTATTTAAAATAGAAATCTTTTTCTAACATTACGAATGTCTTTACTGTCACTTTTGCTCAGTTTAATGCATCCTTGTTGAATAAAATTAATTTCTTTAAAAAAAAATCTTACTGACCCCAAACATTAAATGGTAGTATACATAACTTTTTCACATTAAAATAAGGAGAATGAGATTTTTTTATGATATAATAATGATATTCAGGAGTGAAATGACCTGAATTGTCATTAAAATAGTCTCAGAATGTAAAAAATAGGATTTATTTTGTATAAGCATACAACATAATTTCTTATTTCTTTCTTTTGATTTTAGGGTGGCCCATACATGTTATTGACATGTTTTGCGAAATAACCGGTTAGATCTTTAAAATCTGACCTGTTGCATGACACAACAAGAGATTTCCCATGTACAATGTGGACTGCCACGTGTATTTCAAAGGTAAATTTTCAGACTCAGAGCACAGCTTTGAGCAACATCCATCTGTTTTTCTCACCAAGAGTTTTATTGGATATCCTGTCCACGGTCAGTATGAAATCATCCTTGAAGATGATGTATCCAACGATGGAGAAGAGGTAGACCAGGATGAGAGCCAGCACTGCGGTCAAAACAATCGAGCGGCCGTTCCTGGTTACACTCTTGATGACGTTTAACAGCGTCTCCTCTCGGTAGATCAGGTCAAAGAGCTGGAGAGAGAGTGTGTGTGTGTGTATACAGTATACATCTTGGTGAAAGTGTGAGAGGTCAGGTGTCACCGTTAGAAGAGACGTCCACGTGTGAAAGATAGGTTACGGTATGTCTGATGGAGTGACTGAAAGTGTGTTCGTGTATTACTCACAAGCAAGCTGTAGAAGAAGACATGAACAAAGACTCCAAGGCTGCATATAATGAGGTAAAGCAGATGATACAGGAACTCCACATCCATGATCATGGCCTTGTATCCTCTTGTGAACGTACCGCGATTTCCCACGAAACTCATTAGAAAAATCACTTTATTGCACACCTGAAATCACAACCATCACGTTAAGAGATTTCAGTGGAGTTACAAACTGAATTTTGGCTCATATATAAAAATTTAGCAATGAGAACATTTATCTGTAGCATATCATTAAGGATATACAAACAATTGAATCGCAACCACAAATTACAGGCTGAAGTAATTGCATCAGTTTTCAATGTCCGCATTATGAAATGTTTCCATGAACTTATTTTGAAATCTTATTTATACATAAAACCACTAAATCAAAGCATTCAGCTAATGATTTTCAATAATGTAAGCAAGCTTCAACTGTTAACTTCCTAAAGGGTGCAAGTCTGCTTATGAACAAAAAAAGTCAGATTTTTTTCCTTCTTTTTTTGAAAGAAACTGAAACTATTATTCAGCAAGGATGCATTAAATTGATCAAAATTTATAGTAAAGACTTTTACATTGTTACATTGTCATTTCAAATAAATTATGTTCTTTTGAACTTCCTATTCATCAAAGAATCCTAAAAAACTGTATCATGGTTTAATGCCTGAAATAGAAAACGGTTATTTTAAATTAATGATATTTCACAATATTACTGTTTTTATTGTATTTTTGATCAAATAAATGCAGTCTTGGTAGGCATTACAGAGTAAAATACTTATTTTATTATTATATTTTTCTTTACAAAGATTCAAATCTTACAATCCCAAACTTCTGGAATTGATAGTTGGTTTGGATGCATACTAAGGCTACGTTCACACTGTGAGCCTTAGTGCTCAATTCCGATTTTTGCTCAGATCCGATTTTTTTTGTATAGCTGTTCACATTGTTGTTTAAAATGTGGCCAATATCAAATTTCCAGTGTGAACAGATCATGCTTCTGAATTGACCCGCATGCGCAAAAGAACAATACGAACAGGGTTGCCAGGTTTTCATACAAAATCTGCCCAATTGCTTCTCAAAACTAGTCCAAAACTAGCCCAATCGTGTTCTGGGGGATATATCGCTTTAATGGGGTCGCTTTAACCCACGGAGTTGAAAAACAACCAGTGGCAAAAATGAAAAAGTTGCCCAATTCTGTGGGAAAACTGAGGACTTGGCAACACTTGGTCATATGGAAGTAAACACGGAGGACATAAAGTAAGCAATTATGCATTTTGCTTGTATATGGAGTTGTCACTGTAATACTTATAAGTTCTGACACATCACTGTACTTCCACTGACTACCTTTTACAACTGTCTTGATAGCTTTGGGTATGTAAAATCTTTGAAGTGACTCCCATGAGCGCAGAATCGTGACAAAGGTTGATCTAGAGTGATGTAAAAGTCGCATGAATTCCGATATGACTGTTCACACTGCAGTCGCATTTCAAAACATCTGACCTGTATCGGAATTAGTATCACATATGGAAGTGGCACAAATCGGAATTGAAAAGATCAGATTACATGTGGTTTGTGCTGTTCACACTGTCATAAGAAAAAGAGATCTGAGTCACGTGGGCCACATTTGCCTGCAGTGTGAATGTAGTGTTCACACTGTTAGGGGAAGTGTTATTGTGTGAGCCGAGTCCATTTTAACATCGGACTGTGAAAGCCGTGTGGAATCCCCCAGTGACGTTCGACACACCTTGGTGCAAAACACACCGAGCTGCCCTCTAACAACACCGCCGACCTGACGAGTTTTGTCAAAAGACTGTCGTTCACTCACATTGAAAGCTCCGAGAAGGAACAGTGTGGGCTCCAGGCCGACTGAAAATATGAGGCGTAATATGGTGGAAGCAATGAGAGCCCGAATCCCGTGAGGTTGGGGCAGTACTATAACTATGGCCAGTGAAACCAACATTGCCGCCCAAAGCAGTGCAGAGAGGTGTGGCTCCAGGGTGCCTGAGGAAAAAGAGGTAAACACGTTTTAGTGCCATCAATCATGCTCTGGGATAAAAACACCACAGAAGTGACATGTTATCATGCCATCTGTCATGGTTGCAGCGTCACCGATGCTTCAGGCCTTGTGTTCAACTATCTCAGGGACTCGACTTAGATTTTGATCAACAATCCACAGTGTGTTTCTGGGAATTGTGTCATTTTTAGGTTGTTCCAACATGTGCAACATGTGTCTTGATCAGATTATGGAAATATGAAAATGAGAATTCTGTCATCACTTACTTGCCCTCATGATTTCTTTCTTCCGTGGAATACAAAAGAAAAAGTGAATGAAGACTTGTGCTACCGAGCTCCAAAAAATTCCATATAATTAACATTTCATACAATTTCAGAGTCATACGGATTGTTATGGTACTTTTAGGTGCTTTTTTGCAGCTCTTTCACCGCATATTGAAAATGGGAGTCAAGAAATTCAGCTAAACTTCATGGTCATAGGTAATAGGCCTTCATGGTCATAGGCTTGCAACAAACAGAATTCAATTTTTAGGTGAACTACCTCTTTAACTATTTTTGAGAAATAACAGAAGTGCAGATGATAAACTAAGATTATATTCATTGTCACTACCCATGACTGCACTTCTGTACAGCAGATCTAAATGGGATTCCCTGAAGTACTTGCAGTTTCACCTGTTGAACATGTTCGGGCACATTCTAGCCCTCAAGGGAAAGATGCTTTGAAAAAAAAAATAGAAAAAAGTTACATAACACATTTGAATATGTTAAGGTTCGATGAAGCTTTGTCATGAGCCGCTCTAGCATTGTTTTTAATCCTCGTTCTAAGTGAATGGCAATGAAAGGTACAGTACAGCAAGGTCTTATATTAGTGGGATTGCTAAGCGGGGGTGGTGTGTATGTGTGTGTGTACGCAGAGAAGAAAAATGAGGCCAGTCGGATTTGCAGGATCTTCACAGAGGCAATGGTTCCAGCTCGCTTGCTCACTCTCCCGCCTGCGAGTAGACCACATGACAGGTGCTTGTTACATAACCCGGCGTGCTAAAAATATCACGGCTGAAAGATGCATGAGTGTCGGGTACCAAGCAAGGACGGACTTCACAGCCGAGCCGAGCTGGGGTTTGGACCGACAGGGCTGGTGGGCGGCCAGGAAATATTCAGAATCGAGGACGTCTAAGCCTCCGTTCCATTCATTTCCACAAACTTACACACACACACAAACAGACTACACTGAAAATCTAGGACTCAAGATCTAATTTATACCTGGAAATCAAGTTTTAGGATTTTGAGTATGTAAAACAAAGAAACGAGTTTAAATGAAGAAGAAATATTTCAGATTTCTAGGTCACTAATCAAGTAAACTTGTGACACTGATTATGCGACTTTTCCAATGGAGCACAAGATAATCGTAGAATCGCTTATCAATATATTCTGGAGAACATGATCATCAGGCTTTGATCATGTCAGCTTGAATGCCACTGTCATTAAAGCAAAAGTGGGACATAGTTCACAAATTTGTTACACTCAAAATATTATTTGTGAAGAACTGGTTGTACAGAAGATACTGTATTAAATAACATATATGAAAATGTATATCACTGATATTAAATATTATTAATATATACTGTAAATATTAAATAATAATATGTACTTCTGAAGCCCTCATCGTGTTTGAATGGCAACATTCTGTCAGGCCACTCTTACACACGTTCTGGAATTCTGTAGGGCCTCTCGTTTGACCTTTACAAATACTGTACAGTGACCTACTGAACTCTGCAAAAGGCCTTTTATAATCTGCTTTAAACGTACTTCTAAAAATGTGTCAGAAGACAATCGATTTTGAAGTGCCCACAATGAAATTGACAATAAGGTGTGTAACAACCAATAAAAACTGACAAAATATAATATACAATGAAGCAGGATTATGGGCTACTGAGAATTCACTGAATTCACAAGAATTTTAAAATTAGTGATTATTTAGACTGTATAAATTTAAATTATGTTCATAACAACGTAATGGTTGTTTTTTTGTGCATAACAAGTGTAAGTAATAATAATAATAATAATAAAAATAATATGAAATATAATTAAATATACATATTAAAAATAGTTATATTTAATAAAAATAATAAAAATTATTATAAATTTTTTCTTTTATGCCAAAAATCATTAGGATATTAAGTAAAGATCATGTTCCATAAAGATATTTGGTAAATTTCCTACCGTAATTATATCAAAACTTAATTTTTGATTAGTAATATGCACTGCTAAGAACTTCATTTGGACAACTTTAAAGGTGATTTTCTCAGTATTTAGATTTTTTTGCACCCTCAGATTTTCAAATAGTTGTATCTCGGCCAAATATTGTCCTATCCTAACGAACCATACATCAATGGAAAGCTTATTCATTCACCTTTCAGGTGAATTTCAATTTTAAAAAATTGACCCTTATGACTGGTTTTGTGGTCCAGGGTCACATATTGAATCTGTACCAGAGCTGTAGTTCAGTGTGTTTTTGGCTCCCAGAGGATCCCTTTGTTTTAGAGACTAAAAGAGATTTCAATTAAAAGCCCAAATGCTCATGTGCGCTTTGAGAAAGGGAAAGGCCCAAAACAAAAGACCCCTCGGAGCCTGACCCCAGCCTGAACAATGCAGAGTTTATGTCAGTCACAATGTGGCGCTTATGCCAGTCACAATGACTGGACAATCACTACTCAACACAACATACAAGAAAGAACGAAAGAAACACAGAAAGGCCTCAGAAACATTACTTATACCTAGTTACGCCATCAGTTACATTTGAATGTAGGATGATATTGATCACAAACTTTAACACAGGCAGCTTGTGCTTAAGCTGTGATGTAAGAATGAATGCTTTGTCTTTATCTGGGCCTCTGTTTTCAGGGCCAAATCTCAGCTGACATAAACAGGTGTCGTATTCCTTCAACATGTATACAAACACACACTTTTGATCAGAAAGAGCAGGGAGGAGATATAGACACACAGTCCTAACAGCTTATGAGATTAGGGAAATAGTGTGCGTGTGAGCGCTGGAGTCAAGTGACATGTTATGCAAGTGATCTCTGATAAGAGGGCAAGATCAATAACCAGGTTATGCAGGAAAGTTATGTCGATAATTATGACACACCATAAAGAACACACATGCTTTTGGATCAGAAATGCTTTCAGATGTGTTTGAAGGCAGATATGTATCTGTATTTTAGTTTTGTTTTCTCAGCATTTTTTAAAATATATTTTATAAAAAAAAAATCATGCTTGATTAAATGCTTGATTGAATGTGTGGGTGGGCTGAAAATTTGAACTATATAACTACAAGAGAACTGTATGCTACTGAGGTAAGTGAAGGACATCATATCGCTCAGAATGAATGAATAATATAAGACTTAACACTTCTGTGCTATGACAGAAGTGAGGCCAGCAGCATTTTTTGTTGGAGCTCTGTTATGTAGGCCAAATTATGTCTTTCAGGGGCTGTTTGTGCTGAAAGTAGGTCAGTGAAGTGTCAAGTTCCAGCATCTGTTGCTGACTGCACTCAATTACCTCCATGAAAACAGCAATCTGTACTCTAGCAATGTTAATCAAAGTTGTGGTTGGTATTCTAACAATTACAGAGCACTTAAAGGGATGGTTCACCCAAAAATGGAAATTCTGTCATTAATTACTCACCATCATGTTGTTCCAAACCCGTAAGACCTACGTTCATCTTCAGAACACAAATTAAGATATTTTTGATGCATTCTGACAACTCTCTGACCCTCCCATAGACAGCAAGCGTACTACCACGATCAACATCCAGAAACGTAGCAAGGAGATCGGTAAAATAATCCATGTGACATCAGGGGTTCAACCGTAACTTTACGAAGCTACGAGAATACTTTTTGTGTGAAAAAAAAAAAAAAAACGACTTTATTCAACAATTCGTCTCCTCCGCATCACCCTGTAGCGCCATTTTGGAGAATATCAGCTGGACGTAAACAGTGTATGCTGTTCTGTGTCAGCTGCGTCACAC